GGGGGGGGGAGAAGAGAAAAGTCCCTTCCAGGCTCACCCCGAGCCCACGGCCAAAGAGTGTCCCGGGCGCTGCTCGCCGCTCCGGTGGGGGCGGCGGGGGGCGCTGGCCGCTGCGCGGGGGCCGCGGAGGGAAATGCAGGGAGCGGCGGCCGGGGTCTGTGTGTCGTGTCGTGTCGTGTGTGTGTCCGTCCCCCCCACGGCGTCCCCCACCGGCGGGGAGCCGGAGGGATCCTCCTGCAAAAGCGCACCGCTGTCCCGCCAACTTCCCCCTGCCGCTCTCTTCGAAAAAGAAGAAAAGAAGGAAAAAAGAAAAAAAAAAAAGAGGGAGAAAAGAAATCGGGCAAAGTCAGTTTTACTGAAGGTGGCCGGGTTTATTTCCATGAATTTCACTTCGCAGCAGGAAGGTTAAAATAAGTGCTTAGGTGTTTAATTTCTCACCTAAACAGCAGACTTGGTAATTTTAAGGGAAATAAAAAAAATTACATTGTATCAGCTCTCACTGTCGCCAGCTCGGAGAAATGAAATAAATCAAAGTTAAAAGCTTGAGTATCATTTAATTATGGTGCGAATAGCGCTTGGAAAGAAGTAGAACAACATCTCTAAACAAATTATGGCCGGGCCAGGAAGGAATTATTAGATTGAAATTTCATTTAGGCTCGGGAGACACAGCGCTTCAATATGTAATCTGTTATGCCTCATCTGATTTGTATGCTTAATTCAGCTTGACGAATTTATTAGTTTTCATAATAGTAAAAAAATTGAGCAGCACTATGGGCTAATGCATTGTGTGTACTATAAATTGTATGTCACCGTTGAAAGGCTGAAGTCTATAGAAATCTTTTATTAATGACAACATAGGAAAGAGGATTTTCTTGCAAGCCTTTAAGGAGTTCATGCCAAACCTCCACGCTTCGTGTCTCGGTAGGCTATTAACATATCGTCATACTAATTAGGCTACTTCATGAGTGATATAATTTCAAACTTTAAATTATGTTCTAATTAACGAGGGTTGTCCAATTTGCTTAATCTTCAAAAGGCTTTTGGCTTGTCTAATTAGTCGAAAGCATCGAGCATCTCCAACGCCCAAGAAAAAAAGCCATCGATAACATTTCGCGTGTTTTCAGCACAGCCCGGGCAGAGCCCACGCGGGGCGCGGCCCGCCGGTGGCGGCCAGCGGCTGCCGGGGAGGCAGG